TTTTAGTTCTCGGCGGACACAACATCTTTGTTGGTATGTGGTGCTGAGGATCGAACCCGGGCCGCACGCATGCCAGGCGAGCGCGCTACCGCTGAGCCACATCTCCAGCCCTCACAGCACAGTTTTTGTAGAGGGCAGTGAAATGCAGCAGAACCTGGTATGCTTGGCCTTTTCCTGGCCCTACAGTCACTGAAACACTTCTCAGGCCTTATAGAAGAGATTGGTCTTTACAGTTCTGACCAGCTCTAGCCTAGGCCTATACACTGGTCCTTATGCCCTTGAAACAGTAATTCAGACTGACACTCAGATGGTACTACATCTGAATGATTTACTTGTCCCTTTGAATGAACAGAAAGCATTTTAATTGAAAAAAAAGTCATACAGGCATTTTTTGCTATAAATCTACTATATTTGATATTTTTATTAAATGTAGAAATGAAAGTCACTATTTTATGTAGAAATATCTGTGACCATTCCACTCTGTCATGCCCTTTTTGCTTCTCTGTGTTTCAAAAGCGTCCCTTAATTCACCATTACACCTTAAATCTAAATCCAAAAATCCCTCATTATTACTGCTTTTCACCAGTCTCTATTCACACCAAATGTTACTTCCACAACTAGATCATTCTTCTGTTTACAAATCTCCACATCTCTCACATTTATTTTCTGTGGACAAAAATCTCTCATTTATTTTTACTTCCTCTGCTTCCATCAGTCCAGCTCAGTTTTCTTAATCCTCTTGGCTCCTCTTTCTCACCTGAGAAGATCCTGCCCCTTTCTCAGGCCACTATATTCCTCTCCTGGAAAATCATTTCCTTCAGGAGGGGTTTAAAGGGATGAAAAGGAGAGACCCAAGTCCCCTTTCACACAGTGAAAAGGCAGGTCCATTATTCTACAGGCCCTACCTGATAGCACCACTGAAGAACTTGGACAGGAATAAGGCAAAGAATACCACAAAAATCATTTAATCCTCCCACTAACATGGAGAATTAGGAACCTTACCTATTTTTACATTTGGAAGACTGAGGCTTAGAGAGAATAAATGACTTGTCCAATGTTACAACTGGGATTTTAATCCAAATCCTCCTGTCACCAAAGCCAAACTCTTAACTATCCTACTTTACCCTCTCCAGCAGGGTAGCTGGTTAAGGAAGAAGCAAGGTTTCCTTAACCATGTAGAAAATAAAAGCAAAAAGATCTCTGCATAGTTTTTTTTTTTTTTTTTAAACAGGAAGGTCACTCAGATATTGAGAGCCTTCCAGCTAAAGTCCAATAGGGAACACTAATGACAGCACCATCGCCCCACCTGGAGGGTTCCACATGGCTCAGCAGCTTGTTCAAGAAGCAGCACAGCATGTCTCTCCGCAGGAAAAGACTCAAGCAATGGGGGGGGGGGCTGGTTTTTGTGACTGCTGGTAGGAAGGGTGGTTAAAATAGACCTTTTGGTGATGGTGGTGGTGGTGGGGGGGTCTTCCAGTGTGAGAGGACATCTGCCCACCTCAAAGATTCTAACAATCAAGGACAAGCAATGACACCTAAGGAGAAGCCTTCAAGTCTATACGAAAGCACAGTCAACTTCGAGCGGCACAAAGAAATCTCTATGTGCACAAGAAGATGCTTTAGTGGTATCCACCCAAATGTGGAGCCGGACACCGCCCCTTACTCCCAAGAGAAGCTGTAAGTACATTTTCTCTGGTCTGTGTGACAGAAAAAGGAGGCGGGCACTTCGGTGTCTCCCACTCTGAGGGCCTCGGCGGCGCACCTCTCAACCTTTCCTTCCAACGGCTGAAAGCTGCCCCTCTTCCGCGCCCAACTTGGCCTTAATACCCCTCTCCCACTCGGCACCTCTCTCCCTACCATGGGTCTCCCTCCACTCTCTTCTCTCCACCCCTCTGCCTGCTCGACCTCCCTTCCCCTGTCACCCGCCCCTCTTTTCTTCCCGCTCGACCCCTTTCCTCTCAGCCAGCCGCCGCCCATCCCGCAGCACCTTGAGCGTCACGTCGCACAGCTTGCCCTGTCGCCGGATCTCTTCCATGACGCCGTAGCCGCGACTAGGCAACTCCGACACGGAGAAGTGCACCAAGTCCTCAAGCTCCTCCGCACCGTCCTCCACCATCTTCCCCCACCGCAGCAACTGCGCAGGCCTGGCCGGCCGGCTCCACACTAACCAGGGCGGGGCGCACACCGACCGCAGCTAGGAACGCTGAGCCGGAATGGGACGGGCCTGCGCGGCCGCCGTAATCGCAAATTCTTCTGCGCCGGAAGACCTGCAGCCCCGCTTCCTGGTTCATACACAGCCTTCGTTTCCCCGCTACCTCGAACCCGGCTTTGCGCATGCAGCTGTTGCAGTCTTCCTAGAATCATTGGCCACATCTCCTGTTTTTCGATTCTGTCCTGACCTTATCTGTATCCTCGACCTAGTGCTGTGCACTTCATTTCCGCCACCACCCCACGATACTTCCGGAATCCCCGACGCGACCCGTTGCTATGGCGACTTTATACACAGCCCGGCAGCAGCTCTTGGCGTGTCCAGATCGCGTGCAGAGCTTGGGTCTCTGCAGTCGGCAGCGGTCGCACTGGGCGAGTGCCGCTGCCTCGGGAGCGGTGAGCAGGGGCCGCGCGACAGTGGGATTAGGGAGAAGGGAGGCCCGATGGGGTTGTGCATCCTGGCCGCTGGCAGTGGCTGAATTCCCAGCACCACTCTATCACGGAGTTCCCGGCTTGGCTTGCTAGTTTGTGAAACTCTGGCAGAGGAAGGCACGCGGCTTCAGGGGGTCCTTTTTGTTCTGGCAGCGATTTAGGACCTTCGGGGCTAATATTCCCTGGTTCCGTGAGGATCCCACGTCGTGCTCCAGACATAGAGGGCGTGAGGCAGGGGTGCCAGGGGTCTTCTGGACTCTTCTGCACTCGTTAGTTTTCAAACTGGAGTGACCTTGGGGATCATCAGTCTGAGTCCTGCGCTTTGCGCTCCAGAGAAAGAGAGGAATGGGCCCAAGGCCCACTGCCACCCACACTCCTCATGGGGCTCCTGCAAGTTAGGTGAGAAAAAAGAGAAAGGCTACTTTTGCCTACATGCTGGTCTTGTCTCCAGCCCAAGGCCAGGTTGGACCCTATGTTTGGGGTTCAGATGCTGTTGTAGCCTCTGCCCCTGGTTTGTGCAAGAGCGCCAGAAAATAGGGACTGCCTGGGTACCAGCCATCACACCAGATACTCCCTCATCTCCTGTCAAGCCTTCGGGAGCTGTGGGTGGCAATTCCTTTCATTGCCACCCCTAAAACAAATGAGGAAACAGTGAATCTCTCAATTTGGAGGTCTGCTGTTGGCCACTCAGATTCACTTTATTTCACAGGTGTTAAGGATGGTGTTCCAAAGAGAGGGGTATTCCTCACAAAGCTCTGAGGGATAAGGACACTACTAAAATGGAGTATGGTGAGGGCCTCTAAAATAAACCTAGAAAGCAAGTATCCTGAAGAACAACTGAGGGGTCAGAGTACTGGATGTGGTTTGGAAGGGGAGTCACATCATCTGCGCCTTGAGACTCTCTTAGTAGTGACTGAAGATGGACCCACACATGGAGATTCACCTATCCTCTGACTTCCAGCCACGATCATCACCACCAACCACCATTTCTTGAGCACCTGCTATGCACTGAACACTGTTCTGGATATTGTAGGGGGATTCTAAAGAGATAAAAGGCACATTCCTTGCTCTCAAGCAGCTTGTAATTTGGGAGCTGAAATCCACACAAATGAAGCGGCGTAAGAACAGTAACAAGCAGTATTTTAGTAAGTGCAAATGGCATGGGGCCCCCAATGTTTGGGTATTGAGGGGCTGCTGAATAGCAAGCACACAGTAGAGGTGTAGATCATAGGGAAGGCTTATTGCAGGCGGGTATGGCTCATGACATTCTTGGAGCCATAACATGAGTATCAGGAGACCTTGGGAACATGGACAGGCTGGTTGCATGTGCATGTGCATGTTAGCAATTTCATGGCAGAAAAGAGGCAGGTTCTGGGTTTACTTTGTGCTGGCTTGTGCTACCCCTTGCTGTTGGTGGCAGGGGCTTCAGGGAGGGAGGCCTGGGCAGCAGGTCCCAGAGCTCCCCTGCTTCTTTTCTGTCCCTTTTAAAGAGCATCCTGAATGGTACCTGAACTTCCCTGGGAAGGAGGATGGGCCCTTGGGTCTAGTGTGGGGGAGTTGTTCCCAGAGCTTTAGAAATAGAATATTTTAGTCAAAACACACTTTGCTTTACTCCTAATTTCCCATAGCATAGATTGAAGTGAAATAGAAAATGAGATACTCTCTTCAGTTTTCTGGTAGGACTTTGGGTTAGAGTTATTGGTGGCTTTTTTATTTCTAGAGCTAAATTTTAAAGACAAATATGACAATTTGGACAAGCCATTTTCTTTGCTCACCTCAATATCTTTCAGATTAATTTTCTAAAAATCAAAAAGTCTGAATGACCCCATAGTGGCTAGGAAAAGATGATCATGAAATAGTGAATTGAGGAATGTAGGAAGTATATACATACTCTATAGTAGGCAAATATGTAACATAGTAGTTTGCTACTTGATTTGACAGCTGAAAGACTCATAATAGGTCAGGGTTTTATTTTGCCCCCATCATCAAAAATGTGAGCTGAAAGGAGCACCTATCTCTATTTAACTTGCTTCTGCAGGGACACTTAATGCCATTTGATGATAGTTCATATAATTTTAAGAGAAAACTGATCATCATAAATTGTGTCTAGAAATGTGGAAGGACATTAATATTTTAATAGAAAATTTTTGTTAGGTAACTCCTATGTAAAATATTACTATTTTTTAATGTGCTTTTAAAAAAAACAATTAATTGTAATTGAAAAAAAGAAATCCCTGGGCTGGGGCTGTAGCTCAATGGTAGAGTGCATGCCTTGTATGTGAAGCACTGGGTTTCGATCCTCAGCATCATATAAAAAACAAATAAATAAAGATATTTAAAAAAACTAAATAGAACTTAAAAATATACACACAAAGAAATCCCTGTTGTGCCTGGGAGCTTTTTTAAAAAAACTGAAAGGCCTTAAATATTAGTTTTGTTTTTTTTTTAAATATTGGATATCAGGGGCTGGGGTTGTGGCGAAGTGGTAGAGTGTTTGCTTCTGACATGTGAGGCACTGGGTTCAATCCTCAGTACCAAATAAAAATAAACAAAATAAAGGTATTGTGTCCATTTACAACTAAAAGAAAAATTTTTAAAAATACTGAATATCATATCATTTTGTTAAAGTACTTTGCAGGTACAAACAAGCTATTTCTCCATATATATATATTTTTTTCCATTTTCCAAATTGAAGGTTGAAATTGAGTCAGGTTCCTATGCTTCATGTTTCTCTAACTTCTTATAAATTTAGCAAATTCCTTTTTTTCCCCCAGCTGCAGGGTTCAGGATCAAACTCATGGTCTTGTACATGCTAGACACGTGTTCTACTGAGCTACACCCCCAGCCTATGATTGTCCTATTTAAAAGTGTTTCCAGAAGTTTTCTTTAGCTTCAACTCTATCCTCCCCCTTGAAAGTACAGGATTTTAGGGGCAAATGTCACATTCCTTATTGAATTGGTCCAATCCTGATGGAGAGATCAAAAGACAAGTGTGTGATGCAACAAACATCCTGCCCTTTGGGCCTCTTGTCCATCCAAATTAGAATATTAATTCCAAATGGACTTTTTTTTAAGAGAGAGAATTTTTTAATATTTATTTTTCAGTTTTCGTAGGACACAACATCTTTATTTTTATGTGGTGCTGAGGAACCCAGCACCCTGCACATGCTAGGCGAGTGTGTTACTGCTTGAGCCACATCCCCAGCCCCCAAATGGACTTTTAACATTTTTCCTTTATATTCATGGTTCTGTAAAAGTGAAATTATTGAAATTTGAGAGCCCTATCTTAGGACTACATGACTATAAACTACATAGTGATATTATCAAGTTCTGAGTGGGGGGGCAGATAAAAAAGGTTAAATTGATTTTAGGAAAATTTATATGAAATTTATATGTAGCTGGGCACAATGGTGCACACCTGTAATCCCAGAGACTCCAGAGGTTGAGGCAGGAAGATTGCAAATTCAAGGCTAGCCTGGACCACTCCTGGGCTCAATCCCCATTATGGGGGTGGGGGGGGGATAAGATATATTTATATGTAAAAAACTAGAAATCTTCCATTTTAGAAGAATTTAAAACTGTATTTTGTATTTTTTCCCAATAGTTTTGAACAATGATGTTATTCATTCAGTGTATTCTCATAGACATTATTAGGATTAGACCCAGGAGCGAGATACCACTGAGCTACACCTCTAGTCCTTTTTGTTTTTTATTTTCAGACATGGTCTTGTAGGAACAGACGAGGTCAAACACGAAAGAATTAGCAAGAAGCAGATTTATTTGGCTGCAGCCAGGTTCAGAGGGAAAAGCTTTCACTGTAACCAATCAATCCCCCTGAACCCCGAGTTCAAGCAGTTTCAGAACTTTAAACCCAGTGAGTAGGGGGAGGGGTTGGGAAGTTCACAGTCTGCAGAAGTTCACACATAAGCAGCTTTTCTTTCTCTGTTCTGGGCAAGTTAACCCTTCAAGGTCAGCACCTGAGAAGGGTAGAGCTTCTTCTCCCCTTTCTTACCTCCCCCTGCCAGCTGTTACCATGGAGCCCAATTAGTAACATCTTCTCTTCTCTTTGAAATGTAAACATCTCTGAAGCTGCAGCCCCAGACCACAGGCCTTGTTAAAGAATCTTTCTTATCACACTTTGCATTTGCAAACACTTCCCCCTTGAAAACTTTTATAATCTATTGTATATCTTACAAAATACTAGATAGTCCCTAATTGTGAAAAACTAGTAAAGGGGTGTTCAGCACTTGGACTGCTGATCTCTTTCTGGCCTCTGGCCAAGTAAGAGAGAGCAACAGGAAATAGGAAGCTTAACTACATTGAACTCTTTTGTAGATTCTTTTGCTGATAGTCCTAAAGTCAATTATGGTAATGATTTTTGGAGAGGCTTAATTTAAGATTTTCTATGAAGAAGGGGATGCCACTACAGTTTTACAAGGTGCTGAGGGTCTTGCTAAATTGCTGAGGCCAGTCTCAAACTTGTGATGCTCCTGCATCCTGCTGGGATTGCACCACCACACCCAGCTCATAGATTTTTATCATATTTTTGATATTACCTAGATTTAACAAAACTGATGATTCTCACAGATAGAATTTTACTTAGTTTCTTAGAGCTCTTGGCATTTTCTCTCAGTGTGTAAGACTTTTATCACCAGGCATGGTGGTAAACGCCTGTAATCCCTGTGATAGGGAGGCTGAGACGAGGATTGCAAGTTCAAGACTGCCTCAGCAATTTAACAAGATCCTAAGAAACTTAACAAGACCCTGTCTCACAAAATATAAGACTGGGGATGTGGCTCAGTAGTTAATTAAGTATTTCTGGGTTCAATTCCTGGTACCAAAAACAAAACAAACAAAAAAAGATATTATCATCATTATATATAATGAGACACCTGAAAAGCTGGTCAGATTTTTAAAATCCTTAAAGCAATAAAAATCAATGCAATTGGTTGGGTCTGATCATGCATGCTTGTAACTCCAGCTACTCAGGAGGCTGAGGTTCAAGGCCAGCCTGGGAAACCTAGGAAGACTCTGTCTAAATAAAGTAAAATAAGATAAAGGGAAATAAAATACAGGGAATGTAGCTCAGTGATATAGCACTTGCCTAGCATATATGAGGCCCTAGGTTCAATTATAGTTCACAAAAAGGAAAAACAGCATAATTATCACCTCTGTTTAATCACCCTCTGTTTCTCCACTGAATGTCAGTGTTAGAACCAAAACTTACTGTCTAATTAGTATTAAATATTTTTTTGCAGGCACTCCCAGGAGAGGTCCAAGTGTGATTTGACTCATAATACTAGTCTCCAAAAAAGATATATGAGATTTCTTAGTTATCACTTAAAGGATTTTGCAATTCGTTATTTAAAAGGTTTTACAAGAATATATTTTAATTGGGCACCTTGAGTTTGCTTAACTATTTATGGTGTTTGTGGCCCTTACCTCTTTAAGAAGGTCTTTTCTATTATGGAACATTTATCTAAATGACTATCACTTTCATCTGTAAGCTTCCATCTTATTCCATACAGCCACATCAAATGTTTAATATTGTATTCTACATATAATAATTGTCATAATATAAATGAAGGAAGATAGATATGTGTGACTACCTGAAGGAAGTTGAATGTAGTTAGGTTTTAGGAGAGGAAAAGGAGGTAGGGGACTATGGTTTTTCTCTCAATGGACTGTTTGATTATGGAATAGCTTAAGTATACTTCTAGGGTATTTAGTCATAGAAGTATCCTTAATTTGATCCAGCTAGTCTGATAGATGTAGAGGGGATGCATCCTAAGCAAGGTGTATTTTTTAAATGTTTTTTTTAATTGTTGATAGACCTTTATTTTATTCATATGTGGTGCTTTACCACTAGGCCACAACCCCAGCCCAAGGTATATTTAAAAAAAAAATATTTAGTTGTAGATGGACATAATACCTTTATTTATTTATTTTTATATGATACTGGGGATCAAACCCAGTGCCTCACACATGCTAGGCAAGCACTCTACCACTGAGCCACTTCCCCAGGTATGTTAATGAAAAAAAAAAAAAAACTAGGGTGTGGTCGTGCATATCTGTAATTCCAGTGACTGTGGAGGCTGAGGCTGGTGGATGGCAAGTTCAGTGGCAGCCCGGGCAACTTAATAAGTTCTTCTCAAAATAAAAAATAGAAATAATTGGCATATTACTGAACCAGTACTCCTGGTTCAGTTCTCAGTACTACAAAAAGAAAAACTACTTTTAGTGAATTTCATAACAAGCATATAATAGATGAGGCAAAGCATAAGGAGACTCATCTTACGCAGAATATTTCTAGAAACAACAGCTTAGAATAGGCCAACTAAAGGGAATATTCTTTCTTCTTTGTATTTCAGTCTCTTTTGGGTCAGTGGTAGAAAATGATGAAGCAGCCTTCAAAGTAGGAAGTACACATACCTGTTGAGTGGTGCACTATCCAGAGAGCATTGAAAGGCAGAGGTGAAAAGGAAGATTGGCTCTCAGGGGGATAGGGAAAAATGGGCTACAGGTCACTCTCTTTGGATCTTCTTAAATGAATGACTCCTCTAGTTGTTATTTGATGATGACTACTGAAAATTTCATTGTCCTCTTCTCTTTAGCTAGGATGGGTACCAGAAAAAAGGTTCATGCATTTGTCCGTGTCAAACCCACTGATGACTTTGCTCATGAAATGATCAGATATGGAGATGACAATAAAGTAAGTGGAATGTGTTTGCCTTTGCCTTCCTGCGTCCTTCTATCTCTGTTCTACCTCACTACAGTGGGATCCTATTTCCAACAACTATTTAGGGACCAGGACAGAATTGATCCATCAAATCCAAACCACGCCCTCAACATTGAAATTAAATGAGAAAGTTCATGAGGTTGCCATCTTTAATTGTCCTTTATTAACAATTTTACTGTTAAGAAGTTTACCCTGCATTCTTCCATTATATAATTTCTCAGGGGTATAGTAAGAATGCATTGAGTTGAAGCAGGCATGGGGGCACATATCTGTAATTGCAGCGACTAGGCAGGCTGAGGCAGGAAGGTCACAAGCTTGAGGCTAGCCTTAGCAACTTAGCAAGACCCTGTCTCAAAATACAAATTAAAAAAAAAAACAAAAAAAAACAACTAAGGGCTGGAGAATTTGGCTCAGTGGTTAAGCACCCCTGGGTTCAGTCGCTAGTACTAAAGAAAAAAAAAAAGAGTGTTGTTTTGAGTTGATTATTGTTAAATTTATCCAAGCAGTAGGGGAGACTCTTATCATGAGTACTGAAGATTTATTCACCCTGTGCCTTCACCACTGTCCTAAGAATTTTTCTGAAGCCTTTGACAGGCCTAGAACAGCATGAGAGTGTTAGATGTGAAAACATGTACAGGTCCATCTGGCCAGCATTGAGACATTTTTTAAAAGAAGAATTCAAGGGCAATCTGCTCAAGACTTTAAGGTTCTAGCACTCAAAAAAGAGCTCAAATGTGGCATTTTAAAATGTGCCCTATAGGGGCTGAGGTTGTGGCTCAGTGGTAGAGCACTTGCCTCGCCTGTGTGAGACCCTGGATTCGATCCTTAGCACCACATAAAAATAAATAAGTGAAATAAAGATATTGTGTCCAACTATAACTAAAAAATAAATATTTTAATGTGCCCTACAGTACATGTTTTCAATGAACATAGAAGCACAGAGCATTTTATATATGTATGAACCAAACCTGTCTTCTTGGTCTTGGTTTTTCTCTGCATGGCCAGGTCTTAGCTTTTGGATTAGAACAGCCAGTATATAATTTCAGCAAGATAATGTTTACATCAGAATTCCCATTAAGAAGCTTGGAATCTTAAGAGGCATTGACCTTACCCAGTATGTTCCTAAGCCAGCTGCTGCCACTGTGGCTGCAATGAAGATACATACATCTAAAAATCTTGATTACAAGTAGGCTGGGCACCTTCAGTTTACTCTAATACCAGTGAGTGACTGACGGTGTCTGGGAGGCCCAGAGCCTTTTCTGTGGCTACCTCATTATTACTCACGTTGGGCTTTGGTATATATGTAGAAATAGGTGCTTACCACAATGCAGAGCTGAGGGAGACCTTACCACTTTTAACCAGTGACAGGGCTCAAGCCCAGGCTTCTGTCACCAAGCTCACTATTCCCTCTGACCTAATTCAAGGCCTCCTATACTTGTAGGATATGTCTAAGTCTTGTTTACTACGAACATGATAAATTGGTTTGACTCCATTTCATAGATGGGGGAGCCAAACAGCCACACCCTGTAAACTAGGATGAGAGACACAGAAACTAGGAAGTGCATGTCTTCTGATCTTCCTCCACAGGGTGATATGGCCTCCCTGCAGGCGCTTCCTTCTTCTATACCAAATTGTTCATCCAGAATCTCATCTATATGGGAGTCCCTGCTCATCCTAAAGTTCACTAGCAACCTCAAAATGAGATTGCTTCCTCGTTTTTCTCCAGGTCAGGCCTTTGGTATCAGTGGCTTTTTTGTAACTGACATATAATTTCCTTCCTTCTTTCTCTCCCATTCCCCCCTCTCCATCTCCCCCTCACCCCCTTCCTTTCTCTCTGTTTTCCTAGAGCATTGATATTCACTTAAAAAAAGATATCCGGAAAGGAGTTGTCAATAACCAGCAAACAGACTGGTCATTCAAGCTGGATGGGGTTCTCCATGATGCCTCTCAGGACTTGGTGTATGAGACAGTCGCAAAGGATGTGGTTTCTCAAGCCCTTGATGGCTATAATGGTAATTAAATTAATTAATTGTTGTTTTACCTAAGAACCTGAGGATCACTTTCTGAAGGAAGACATACAAGTATTTTATGGTGAATAAAATAAAACATACTAACATTTGTAGGCTCATTTTCCTGTTTCCATGTTCTTTTTTTTTAACTTTTTTTTTTTTTTTTAGAGAGAGACAGAGAATTTTTTAATATTTATTTTTTAGTTTTCGGCAGACACAACATCTTTGTTTGTATGTGGTGCTGAGGATCAAACCCAGGCCGCACACATGCCAGGCAAGCGTGCTACTGCTTGAGCCACATCCCCAGCCCCTGTCTCCATGTTCTTAATAGTGGAAAACTTCCTATTTGCTTGATGACATTGTGGGCATGCCTGACCCACTACCCTAGGATCCTACCTTGATAGGATGATTAGAAGACCCTGGCTTTTTATAGGTTGTAGAGGTTCAACTATTATCCTATTAAAATGTTGGTTTGACAATATGTCTTTATGATCAATTTGATGAAGTCTAAACATTTTTCTCTTAGCTACCTGCTGGAAACTATTTCCATTTATTCTAACTTATTGTAATCCCTTTACTGTTCATATTCCAGTATAGAATTATTCATATTATCCCTAAAAGCTTCATCAGTGATTGATTTTTCTCAACAAAGTAAAAACAGCTTTATTAAGAATGTTTTAAAAACTTATTTAGTCTAAGTTTATTAATCTTAAAACATGGGATCAGTGGTGTAGCTCAGTGGTAGAGTGCTTGCTCTGTCAGGTCTGCTGTGTAAACACCCAGAAGCAGTCTTTGGGATGGGATCAAGCCAAAAGCAAGAGCAGATGGGAGCCCAGGGTGACTACCTAGTTCATGTCTCAGAGCCTGGTGGTGATGCTAGACCTAAAGGATATGAAAAGTACAAATGAAAAGTCTTTCAGGGTATTCAGTGGAACCAGATCAGGGACCAGTAATGATGGTCCATTTTTGGAAGTGACCTTGGACTAACTAGGAGCTCTCTTTGTCCTGTGCGAATCTGCAAATGTTGACAGGAAATGCCCTTTCTACTCTATCTCTTCCTGGAGATTTTAAAAGCCTTTTTTGTTTTTATGGATAAGTTGATGACTCTTGCCAGACCCAGACCCAAGCAGTTCATGACCTTGCAAGAGAAGGAGGAAAGTCTAATGCTCCTGTTCCCTTCCTCATCTTTTAAGTAAAAGTTCCCACTCTTCACTTCCCTGAAACTCCCTGTTCTCAGAAGCTCTAGGACTAGAAGCTCCCTCTCTCCCTCTCTAGGCCCAGAACATCTCTTGGTGCAGACAACATTAGAGCACTGGGTGGACTACAAATTCAGGGCAGATACCCATGTTTTGACTGTTTATGTGTCATCAGTTTTACTACTCCTTTGCTTGCCCATCCTCCTCCATGGTGGAATTCCTAATGTCTTTGGCCAATTCCCACTGGCTACCTTCATACAAGGGTTCTGCTTGGCACTAGATATGCTGGGGAATGGGAGAACTGTCCTTAGAATTATTTTCCTGGATGTCACTGAGATGTGTTCTGAAATGTTTGCAGGTACCATTATGTGTTATGGGCAGACGGGAGCTGGCAAGACATACACCATGACGGGGGCCACTGAGAATTACAAGCACCGGGGGATCCTCCCTCGTGCTCTGCAGCAGGTAGAGAGTGGGCCCATGGGTGGGATGTCACATAGGTCCCCTCTCTGCCATAGATGCTGACAATTTCAGATCAGCTAATAGAAATAATGGGATCTGGCCCTCTGAGGAGTTGCAGCCAGTACTGGTACCAGTACTATAGACAGAATAAATTCACATGGCGGGGGGAGGGGGTAGAGGCCTCAGGAGACTAGAGGTTCAAACACCCACACTGTTTCCTCATTTGTAAAAGAGGGAGCAGGCATGTTCCAATAGTTTGTGATTCTGTAATTAAAGATTTGAAAGTCCTTCCTTGTTTTAACTAGTATAATGTGGGCTCTTTCAGAGCTAACTTTACTGGCCGGCTTTGGCTTCTTTACCCAACATTGCCTTTAAAGAGCAAAGACAAGAAGTGAACCATGACCTGAGCTTTCAAAACTGTGTCAACTATGGCTTAGTGAAGTATGACTGAAGACAGGGCATAAAGGCCTTCCTTTGGGGCCTGCTAGCCTGGGTTCTGTGAAGACTATGTTTGGAGGAGGAAGCAAAAAACCTTCCCACTAAAGCATCTTGTGGTTTGACAGCCTTATCCTATGAGAAGTATAGATATCCTAGTATATAAACCATCTAAAGCTTCGGTATCTCAGCATCTCAGTCTGCAGTTGTATAGTCCAGTGCCACCTAATAGAAATATCATGTAAGTCACATATGCAATTTTGAGTTTTCTAGTAGCTACATTTAAAAAATAAATAGGTGAAATTTTACTTATTTGGGGGATATTGGGGTTTGAACCCAGGGTCTCACACATGTAGGAAAGCACTGTACTGCTGAACTATATCCCCAGCAGTTGGGAGTTGCCACATAGGAATCAAGTACCCCTTAGCCTTGAGCAATGAGAACGTGGAGATGTGGCAAGCCAGCCATGGGCTGTGTGTGTGTGAAATATGAGCACTGAGTGCACAAAGTGGACTGAACCGACGTTGCCCCTCTGTTTAGGTGGGCCTCGCTCTGCTTATGATCCCCACACAGCTCATGAGATGGTCATGGCCTTCTTAGATGTCAGTCAGTCTGCTGACAGCTGACATCACGAAACTAGACTCAACCCCCTGAAACCTGACCCCTTGCCTCAATTGAATGGCTTCTCCCCAATAAAAGGGTTCAGCACATGCTCCTCTCTCTGTCTTTTCACGGACCCCTAAGGTAAGAGGAGCCATCGTAACACCCAAAGGAAAAGTATTTCTCTGTCTCTGTGTGATTATTTCGTGCCAGCCAGGTTCACCTGGAGTGACCTTAAGTTTTAGTCATGGAATGTGACACCCAGCCCTTTTTAATTTTATTTTCAGAGAGGGGTCTCCCTAAGTTGTCCAGGTTGGCCTTGACATTGTGATCCTCCTGCATCAGCCTCCTGAGTAGCTGGGAGTACCAATATGTGTGCCAACTATGCCTAGTGTGAAAATAATTTTAACAATATAATTTTTTTATATTGTACTGGGGATGGAACCCAGAGGGTCTTTACTACTGAGCTACATCCCCACCCCTTTTTGTTTTTTATTTTGAGACAAGTTCTTGTTAAATTCCAAAAGCTGGCCTTAAACCTGCAATCTTCTTGTCTCACCCTCCCAAATTGCTTGGGATTACATGCAAGTGTCACCATTCTTGTTAATTTTAGCAATATAACTTAACTTGGTATATTCAAAATATAATTTCCAAATGTAATTAGTATAAAAGTTATTGAAATAGTTCACATTATTTTTCTATTAATAAGTCTTTGAAATTTGATTTATATTTTATACTTGGGGAGTACATTTCAATTTAGGCACTAAGTATTAGCAGAAATACCTGTATTCATTCACATTTTGTAAAATTTCGAGTTGAAAAAGTAGATTTAGCTGGGTGTGGTGGCATTGTCTATAATCTCAGTGGGGCAGGAAGCAAGTACAAGGCCAGCTCCAGGAATTTAGTGAAGTTTTTTTTTTTATCTTAGAGATCTTGCCTCAAAATAAAAAATAAAAAGAAATAAAAAGGGCTCAGTGGTTAAGCACCCCTGGGTTTAATCCAAAAAAAAAAAAGAAGAAGAAGAAAAAAGAGAAAAAGTAGATTTACATACTAAAGTTGTTACAAACATACTTAAAAGTTTACTGATAAATGAAATAAATTTTAAAATTTAATTTACATAAAATTTTAAATTAAATTCATTTGCATTAGCAACATTTCAAGTGTACAACAGCCATCTGTGGTTACTATCTATCATTTTGGACATCTCAAGTCTAACCTTTTAGAAAAAGTGAGACTTGAGGATTATCAGCCCAATTCTCTATTTAACAAGGAAAAAAATTAAGGTACTGTGACTGAGGGTGTAGCTCAGTAATGGAGTGCTTGCCTAGCATGTACGAGGCCCTGGGTTTAATCCCCAACCAAAAAAAAAAAAAAAAAAAAAAAGAAAGAAAGAAAGAAAAGAAACTTAACAGGGGGAAAAGACTAGTCCAAAGTCATGCTGGGAAGGATATTAGGAGTTAAGGAAGCTGAATTCTGGCTTTGCCTCTATCCTTATTATCAGAGTGACTATAGAAAATTTTAATGCATGGAACTTTCCATAAATGGGAATTGCTCTTGCCTGCCTCCCACAGGGGATTTGTGAGGATGAAATTGAATAATAGATACAAAAGAGGTGTGTAGATATGGAGAATACCATATGTAAGAATACCATATGTAAGAGATCTTCACTTCAGAATCTTTTTCACTCATCATGCCTCTACTTCTTGTGACTAGATGAGGGTTAGCCAATCAGGAAGTCATGCTTCAAACAACTATAAGATGATAATTAATATCACCCATTGGACTAATCATAATAATTATTGATGGTGAACATCATGCCAGTTAGATTATGATGAATTCCTTGAGGACAAGAATTGTCTTATACTTCTTGATCTTCTCTCCTGAGGTAAGAGCAACCCTGGCTCTTGGAGTTCTGCCCTTGGTAACTGCTGTCCAATCTCCCATCTAGGTTTTTAAGATGATTGAAGAGCGCCCTACACATGCCATCACTGTGCGTGTTTCCTACTTGGAAATCTATAATGAGAGCCTGTTTGATCTCCTGTCTACTCTGCCCTATGTTGGACCTTCAGTCACACCAATGACCATTGTGGAAAATCCTCAGGGGGTCTTCATTAAGGGCTTGTCAGTCCACCTCACAAGTCAGGAGGAGGATGCATTTAGTCTCCTTTTTGAGGTGAGATGATCAAGTCAAAGGGCTCCTTTCCTTTCCTGGCCAACCTTTCCCTCCCACTCCCTCCCTCCTCCATCTTTAGTTTTCTACTTATTTTGAAAATAAATATATTAATATATGCAAATCCAGTCAGAACTAAATAATATGAATAAAAAAGTTAACTTATAAACTTATTCCCTTAAGGCAACAATAATGTATATTTTAGTTTATTTCCTTCCAGCCTTTTTTCCTGGGGCAGTTTTTTTTCTTTACAGAGTTGAAATTATTTGTGTTTTCTCTCTCACCCTGTCTTTCTCTTTAGTTAACATTAAATTGTGAGCCCTTATAACATAGAAAAAATAAGGATAAACATCTTTAGCTAGGCATGGTGGTGAATACCTGTAATCCCAGATACTTGGGAGGTTGAGGTACAAGGATCATAAGTTCAAGGCCATCCTGGGCAACCTAGACTATGTCTTAAAATAAAAATACAAATAAAGCCAGGTGCAGTGGCCCACACCTGTAATCCCAGTGACTTTGGGAGGCTGAGGCAGGAGGATTGCAAGTTCTATACCAGCCTGGACAACATAGACCCAGACTCAAAATAAGGGCTAGGAATGTAGGTCAGTGGTAGAATGCTTGCCTAGCATGTTTGAGTCCCTAAGTTTAGTTCTCAGGACTAGAAAACAAACAAAATTCTTACTATAAAAATGCTCTTACAGCCAGACAGGGTGGTGCTCATCTGAAAGGACGATCACAATTTTCTTTTAAGTTGTAGATGGACACAATACCTTTATTTAATTTATGTATTTTATTTTATGTGGTGCTGAGGATTGAACCCAGGGCCTCACACATGCCACACCCCCAGCCCCAAGGATCACAATTTTTTTTTTTTTTTTTGGTACCCGGGATTGAACTCAGTGGCACTTAACCACTGAGCCACATTCCTAGCCCCCCCTTTTTTTTTTTTAATTTTTTTTAGTTATAGTTGGACACTATCTTTATTTTTATGTGGTGCTGAGGATCGAACCCAGTGCTTCACATGTGCGAGGTGGGCACTCTATCACTGAGCTACAGTCCCAGCCCCCTAGCCCTTATTTGTTATTGTTTTTTAAAATTTTCTTTTTAGTTGTAGATGGACATTATACCTCTATTTTATTTTTATGTAGCGCTAAGGATCAAACCCAATGCCTTCCACATGTGAGACGAGTACTCTACAAGTAAGTTACAACCCCAGTGCCCCAGGCCTATTTTGTATTTTATTTAGAGACCAGGTATCACTGAATTGCTTAGCACTTCTCTAAGTTGCTGAGGCTGGCTTTGAACTCAAGATCCTACTGCCTCAGGCTCCTGAGCCAGTAGGACTACAGACAAGCTCCACCATTCTGGGCCCAGAATCACAAATTTGAGGCCAGCCTTAGCACCCTAGTGAAGTTCTGTCTCAAAATAAAACATGAAAAAAAGCTGGGATTCCCCAGGTTCAATCCCCAGTAATCAACAAAGTGTATGTTTTTCTTTTAAAAGTCATTTAGGCTTGAACTCCTACATTACTGGTGAAAATGTGAAATGATACAGCCAGTTTGACAGTTTCCTAAAAAAAGTTAAACATATAAAAAATAAAATAAAACTTTAGGGGGCTGGGGATATGGCTCAAGCGGTAGCGCGCTCGCCTGGCGTGCGTGCGGCCCGGGTTCGATCCTCAGCACCACATACCAACAAAGATGTTGTGTCCGCCGAGAACTAAAAAAATAAATGATAAAAAAATTCTCTCTCTCTCCTCTCTCACTCTCTCTTTAAAAAAAATAAAATAAAATTTTAAATGAGACAAAAACCAAAAACCACAAAAAAGTTAAATATCAGGGTGTTTGTTTTTTTTGTTTGTGGTACAGATGAATTGAACACAAGGCTCACACATGCTAGGCAAGAGCTCTACCACTGAGCTCCCATCTCCAATCCTAAACATGAATTTTATTACAGGACTTAGCAATTCTGTTCCTAGGTATCTACCCACAAGAAATGAAAGCATATGTACATCCAAAGAGTTATATGCATATGTTCCTAGCAGCATTATTCATAATAGCCAAAAGCTGGAAATAACAGAAACACTGTCAACTGGTGAATGGATAAACAAAATGTGGTACATCCATCCATACAATGGAAAACTACCTAGCAATAAAAAGAAACGGAGTGCTGATATGTACTACAACATGGATAAGCCTCAAACATGCTGAGTGAAAGAAGTCAATCACAAAGACCACATTATTAAATGATTTCATTCACATGAAATGTCCAGAACAGTCACATCTATAAAGACAGAAAGCAGAACAGCAGTTGCTTTGAGGAAAGAGTGGGAAGTAATTGCAAATAGGCCCCAGGGAGCTGGGGGGTTGATGATGCAGCATTTCTAAAATAGGATGGTGATGATGGTGGCACGATTCTGTAAACTTAGAAAAATCACCAAATTGTTTAGTTAAAATAGTAGATTTTGTGGTTTTTAAATTATAATAAGGACTGGGGTTGTAGCTCAGTGGTTGAGTGCTTGCCTAGCATGTGTGAGGCACTGAGTTCTTTTCTCAGTGTCACACATCAATAAGTAAAATAAAGGTCCATCAACAACTATAAATATATACACAACAACTATATATATATCAACAACTATAAATATATAAACATATATATATGTACATAACATATATATATATATATATATATATATGTATGTATGTATGTTATTATAATCCGTAAAACTGCTTTGAAAAAAAAAAGTCACATAAGTGTCCTCTGGGTGATTTATGCCTGAATCCCTTGAGTCTACCAAGAAGAAAAAGCCTCCCTGGTGGCAGCAATGGGGCATTCTTGTTGTTCCTGACATTTCGTTTTGAAGAATGATGTTTGATGTAAGTTTCCAGTGACTATAATAAAAGTTAAAAAGGTCAAAACTTTTGGAAAGTTTTTAAACATGAATAAGAATTCATATTCATACCCCTTAGAAGTAGCCACCATTTTGACTAATAAGATAATCATTAGCTTGGTCTTTTTTTTTTTAATTGGGGATTGAACCCAGGGATGCTCTGCCACAGAGCTATATCTCCAGCCTTTTTATTTTTAATTTTGAGACAGGGTTTCTCTTAGTTGCTTAGGACCTCACGAAGTTGCTGAGGCTGGCCTTGAACTTGGGATCCTCGTGCCTCAGCCTTTGGAGTCACTGGAATTACAGGCCTGTGCTGCCTGGTTACTTACCATTCTTGAAAGTATGTTAGCCTGGATCCTCTAAGAAGCAGATGCCAAGATGGGATTAAATATGCAAAAAATGTTATTAGGGAAATCCCTGAGTCAAGGAATAGGAAGGGTAAGGCTGGAGGGATCCTGCAGACTATCTTCCAGCTCTTCTCATGCAAAAGGCAAGAATTGCCATGTATATAAGGAATGTTCAGCGAGGCTATTGGGGGCATTGAACCAAAGTTGGCCCCAAAAGAATGGATATGTATTAATATTCATGTTACACTCAGTCCTTTCTTGGAAGCAGTCCATAAGAGCATAGTGTTTTGATTTCCTAGTGCTGCATAACAAATGACCACAAAATTAATAGCTTAAAATAACATACATAGCCGGGTGCGGTGGTGCATGCCTGTAATCCCATCGGCTTGGGAGACTGAGGCAGGAGAATCGCAAGTTCAAAGCCAGCCTCAGCAAAAGAGAGGTACTAAGCAACTCAGTGAGACCCTGTCTCTAAATAAAATCCAAAACAGGGCTGGGGATGTGGCTCAGTTGTTGAGTGGCCCTGAGTTCAATGCCCAGTACCAAAAAAAAAAAAAAACATTTATCATCTCACAGTTTCTGTGGATCAGGTGCCTAGGTTTAGCAAGGGTAAGTCCTTTGCAGGGTCTCATCAAGGTGTTATTTTTTTTTTTAGGGTCCTCTTCTGAGCTTATATGGCTGTGGGCAGAATTCATTTCCATGAAGTTCTAGAACTGAGATCCCATTGGTGTAAACTGGTGGCTGTCCACAGCTCCAAGAGTCTGCTCACAGTTGATTGTCATGTGGCTTTTTCATTGGGGTCTTCCTAGGACCCTCAAGATATAGCGACTTCTTTCCTCAAGGTCAATTGCAGAAAGTTTTTCAAGGCTCTCCTGATTAGGTCAGGTCTTCCCAGGATAATCTCCTTTTGATTTATTTTAAATCAGCAAATCTCTTTACCTTTATCATAGTCTGTGGTTTAGAAGCAAGCTACAAGATCAAGGAGATGGGGCTGTATACAGAGGCACAGTTGATTGGCAATAACACATGGCTTCCATGAAAACATGGTGGTAGATTTCAGAGCCTAGCAGCTGAGGGGCTCAGTAAGTTATGCTCCTTATGGAAGAAGAGCTGTGAGATGCTTTTTTAAATCTCCAGGTGGAGATTGAATCTCCAGGGCACTTTACCACTGAGCTCTATCCTCAGCCCTTTTTATTTTTTATTTTAAGTCAGGGTTTCTTATGATCCTCCTGCCTCAGTCTCCCAAGCTGCTAGCATTTCTGGTATGCACCACCATGCCCAGTTTGTTAGATACATTCTTGTGAGCAACACAAAAAAAGTAATTTTTGTGTGTGGTTGCTTTAAAAAGTTTATTTTAGCTTTTTTTTTTTTTCCTGCAGTCTCACTATAAATGATGTGATTTGTAAAAACTTTTTTTTGTCATATTAGGAATTTATTGGTTCTCCTGAACCTGTGTATTGTTAATTTTTATTATTTGGGGGAAATTTTTCAGCCTTTCTCTGTTCAATAAAATTTTTTTTCATTTTCTTATTCATATTCTTCTTAATTCTAACATAAGACCTCACACCAATCCTCTACGGCTCTCACTCCATTTTTTCTTTCATTTTGTCTGACCCCCCACCACACACAATACTAGGGATTGAACCCAGAGGTACTGTACCACTGAGCTACATCCCCAATCCTTCTTATTTTGAGACAAGGTCTCACTAAGTTTCAGAGGCTGGCCTGGAACTTGTGATCGATCTCCTTGTGCTAACCTCCTGAGT